ATATCTTGTGTTTTTGGTTGCAGCAAGTGAGCAAAACATGCAAGCATTTTCAGCGAACACAACTTGCACTTCTTCCTATTTTCTACCTCCTAAAGAAACTGCTTTTTGTTTGTGTTGTTACACTTTTTTCCCGGAAAAAACTTGTCCATCATCTTAATTATATTTTATTTGTAGCAACAACTTTGTTGTAGTCATTTTTGCATTCTTCTTCCTGAAAAAAAACTGACTTATTCGCATCCTTAGAGTCTTCCTCCGACGATACTGTTGGCCATCATCTTAATTATATTCTCTTTTTGTGATAATTTTTTTCTAGTCATTTCCACATTCTCCTTCCACAAAAAAAATTGTTCATTCTCATTCACAAGCTGTTTCGTGTGCAAGAAAATTGTGCATCAACATTCCTGCATTCTCATTGGCACACATATTTTTCTTACTCTCATTTATATACGCTCCTTCCTGAAAAAAACGTATTTCTTTTTACTTTAGTCTTTTACGCAAAAAAAATTTGTCTGTCATTGTTATTACATTCTCAATATTGGAAGGAATATTTTTTACTCTCATTGTTATATTTTCTTTTTTAGATAAAAATATTATCACTCTCTAACAGGGAGAAGAAAATTATTTCACAAGTCAGTAGTAATTGGTAAGTGTGTTGTTATTTGTGTGTCTATCAGTGTATAGATGTAAAGATCGACGATGAACTCGAGTGCTCATCGATTCAGTAGAATTTTCAACTGGTCGTGACAATAAGGGTGAGTAAAACAATCTCATCTGCATATATCTTAGCATCAGTATTAAGGAAATAATCTACTTCATCACATTAAGTACCTTGTGGAGTTTAGAATTTAGCGCAAGAAATAGGGTGAAGGCAATAATCTTTTGATTACATGTCGTAACATAACGGTGAAAGGAATAATTTTATAGTCATAATAAATAACCACACTTAGAACTTCTCAGACTGTGATAATCGTTTTAAATTCTAATAGTCACATCCGGCTTTATGAAATTCTGCTATCTGAATTGTGGCAATGTCGAATGATAGTAGAATTTTGATATTAGTTTAAATTCAGATCGCGAAATTCTTTTTGACGAAATTTTATTTCACCGTTAATATATGCTGCACGATAAGGCTTGATGAATTTTATTAATTCGCAGCAGCTACTCTAGTTTAATCTCGTCACAACCTTGAAAATGCCATTGTGGCAGCGGCAGATTCTCAGCCGCGATTGACATCTGTGATAGAAGTAGAGATTTGTCGTCTGCCTTTCACTTCTTTCCCACAAGCAGTAATAGTTGGCGTCATGAAAGTAAAGTTTTTTATAGGAATATTATGAAAGATGAACGCATTTGAGATACGTGTTCTTCTCTCCTTTTTGTGAACTTTTTAGTATCATAAGATCAACATCTTTCATTGCGGACACACATTGATGGTACGTCAAAATTGGAGTTCAGCAATCCATATTACGATCCTTTCCATTTCAATTGATACAGAATGTGGATCTTTACATAAATATTATCTTATTTATCATAGGTTGTTATACACTTCTGATCATGTACTCTTAAAATATATATCGTATCTATATTTTTGGGATTAATTACAATGTTTATTATCTTTGAAAATCTATCAGGATTTACCAAGGTCTAGTAGTAACTATTAAAGTCTTTCGAATGTACTAGGATCTACCAGGGTTCACTAGAGGTCTACCATAGTTTACTACAGCCTACTTGAGGAAACGGCTATTTTGAAGATATTAAGTCATTTAAAGCCTTAATCAAGGGTTTTCTGGGTCGAAGAATCCAAATTCACAATCCGTTTCTCATAGTAGTAAAACCTATATTCTCACTCTAGAGAAAACTGATGAGAAACGCGAAAATACAGATAGGAAGAATGCAGTGCTAAATCTGCGGAAGTCCTGCGAAACCTTGGTAGATGTCACCAAACTCTAGTAGATCCTTTTAGGCCTTGGCTGATCTTTTATACAGTCTTATAAAACTTTTACAAAGCAATATAGAATTTTTGCATTATTTAGTAATTCAATCCATTATGAGCTCCAGCTACGGACCTATTGAATGCAATGACAATGGCAATGAATCCACTACGCAACGGGGGCTGTTGCGATGCAAATACATAATAATTACATGCACTATTTTAGTGCTATTTTCTTTGAGTGCGATCTTTATTTCATCGCCGTTCAGACTGCCTTCTTTGGGTACGTTCTCCATTTCATCGTCGTTCAGACTGCCGAAAATGACTAATAGTACTGAACAGCTTCCGAAATTGAAGTTCTACCGTTCCAGCTCAGGAACATTTTTAGGCTCAAAGCAACGTAACTCTGGATACGGATATCCCATAACGTTGATTGAAGACCTCGTTCGTGATAAAGAAATTAGTATTGTACTTCCCGTATACGACGAACATAGAGTTATGATTGCTTGTCTTCTCCGATCTATGCGAAATCTTTGTGTTGGTTGTACCGAAGTACCAATTATTGTGATTACTGATGACAAGAGCAAGGAAGTTATTCGTAAAACTTTGTACGAAGACACGTCGATTTGGCCCGGAGAACCAACAATCGCTTCTTCCTTTCCACAGTTGTCTATTAAACTACTTCGCGAAGTATTACCGTACTATACAGTAAATGGATGGACTGATGAGAGTCATTTGGTTAATGGAAAATTCCAAATGCAGTCACACAAAAAGATGTTCGGAGTTCTAAATGGGGCTTCTACCCGTTTCTCGTGGTTATTGGACGTAGACAGTTTTATTTTCAAACCGATGGTTCTGAAGAAGATGCTTAAAGACTATTTTTCATCACCATATATATATACTGCACATAACTGGGGGGTTTCGTCCACTTTAATTCCTTGCGCAGAAAATCTAACAGGCAGCTTTATACACACTGGTTATACAAACGAGGTTATAAACTATATATTTGATAGAGAAATATTATCTGATTTCAATGATTTGGTCCTAGCACAGTACCCTAACTGGAATGTACCAATCTTCAAAACTCATTGGTATTTCTTTGAACTAACATATTATCATTTTATCATGTCCAAACAAATTCAAGAGAGAAAATACATGCAATACAAAATCATTGAAATACGAACCATGCTTGGGGGTAACAATTCTCCTCTTCTTCAAACGGTTGCTAGAACAGCAGATGGTGGATTAATTGAGAGAATTGTTGGTTCGATTACTAAAGCTCCTAGCATTTATAACGAACTCGTTCATATATGGAAAGAGCGGAATATTCCAGCTGTCAGACCACAGGGCGATATCCTGCTTGCACTTGACTTTGCGCTAGATACAAACGTATTCGTCCTGACTAACCACTTTATCGACGAGTTGTATAGAATGTCGCAGTCTGGCTTCTGGAGTAATTCGACACTTGCACTCAGCAATGCTGAAAAGCAAGGATGGAAGTCATTGGCAGATCATATTACAAAACGGAATAATCAAGCTAAAACTTCGAAAATTTAACTACTGTCTTCGTCACTTTGATAACTTACACGACCTCAAAATAGTTTTACGTATTTTGATAACTCTTAATTGAGAGTGTGGCTGTCGCTGTGGGGAATTTATTTCATCCTCTTCCGCACACCCACATACTTCATCGTTTTATTCAATATATTGCGTCGATATTAATTTACTAACCATTCACTATATTATTATTTTATCATTTATAAACTTACTGTTGCACGTTCGATACTATGCTATTGCTTCTCAACATGAAGAAAGGCACAAAACATCACCTTTAAACTTCAATACTCCTATTAAACAGTCTTTCTCAGAATTGAAAATCATATGTATACATTCCAAAAAATTCCACTTTTCACAAAAAAAAGCCAGGGCTTAAAGGGTTAGACAAGAAAGGAATGATTGTCGTGAAAAGCCTGGAGTTTTTCCATAAAATCATCTCACCATAACTCTCACTCCCCGAATAATCGGTTGAATAGTTAAATGCTCAAAGTCGCTCTTCAACTTTTACATATATATAATAAATCTTGAGGGTGTGGGTATGGGTGTGGGTGAGTGTGGATGGCATTTTGCGTACGATAGACTTAATACACCCAGGCCCACACCCTCACCCATATGCACACCAACCACAACACCCATACTCTCATTCACCCTTACACCCACACCCTCGAGTTTTTCATTCGAAAACAGTCTCGAATAAATTTTATTAGCATATAAAAGTGTTCAGAAATATTTCAGAGTATGATAGTGTTCAAAATAACCTAACACGTAAAGTCCAACGTTACAAACATCACACTGATAGCGTGTGTCGGTGTGCCTTTTCTCACATATGCTCGCATGATCATAAATTATACAAGATCTTTGTGGAATATTTCCTGTTAGATTTCATGAGAATCATTATTTGTAGACGTTGCCATATTCAGCGAAAACTTTTACATAATAGATATGAATAATAATTTGTTATGTAGAAAAGACACGTTTAGAGTAATACGAGTTCACTTTGATTTTTGTGAGAATATTTATTCAAAGATATGAGTTTTTTTCAAGTATAAAATCGAAATTTTTCTATACGAGAGCGTCTGCTGAAAAAGAAGCAACATAGAATACGTTAGAATTTAGTAAAACGTGATAGAATGTCAAAAGCCGGTATACGTCAGAAGACGAGTGAGAGAATATATATATATAAATAGGGATACGTAGTAATGACGCAATACTGTCAGTAGGATAAGCGAAACATATAGCAGTTATTTTCATAAAGCCTAAATAACATTAATGTTCGTATATGAGTCATCCGTAGCCAAAGGGTTAATCAATCAACACCAGCTATTAAAACGATTCCAATGCCGAGCATGACAAAATTGAACTGGTCGCATAATTTTAACTATAAAAGGCCATAGTTCGAATGTAATATTAACCTTATACAAAGTTGCTCTAATATTCGACATTCTGCATAATCAGATCGTGAACCACAAACATGTTTTGGTAGATTTTGTATATATGCTACACACATATAAGGATCTCATATTAATCTTGGAATAATAGCAAAGAAATCTGATAGTCCATGATCATTTTTATCACAAGGACTTTGATGATCAGGCCAAGTTTGATTATATCCTGGAGGAATATCTTGTAAAAATTCATAATATGGATTAATAAGTATTCGATTTTTAGGTAACAGATCAACTGTAGGTAAATCTTTAGCGATATATAAATCAGGTCGAGTTCGAACAATAAAATCATATTTTATTCCATCTTGTTTTTCAACTTGTGCAATATGCTCCAAACAACGCTGCCATCTAGCATATCCAGCACGATCATCTACAGCTCCTAATCGATCATTTATAGAAATCCATTCAATTTTGCGTGGTGCAAGATATTTCAATGCAGTGGTGTAGCCTTCTGGACCACTATTAGTCACAATGGCTCCATGTACATTTTCAGTTTTATCCATAAGATCCAGAATAACAAATAAATCACCTGGTAATTGATCTAATGCTTGTCGACGATAAGCGACATATAATTCCTCTTTATAAAGTGTTCGAGGAGCACCTGTCATACAATGAGCAATACGATATTTTGTTATATTATGTACAGTATTCGTAGATAATGAATAAAATACAGGTTGATATAATAATACATTTATAATAAAAAGTATGATTATTATGATGAACTGTGTTGTATAATATATTTTGTTTTGTTGAAATTTGATATAAATTTTTTTTTAAAATAATAAATTCGATATTGAGATGTTGTTATTTGTTGTATTTATTTTATCCATTTCAGTCAATTTAATAATATGATAAATAAGAATAGATTTCAAACTTGTGTTAAAGTTGATAATCAGTTAACAATCAATTCGTAATTATGTTGAATTAAAACAAGACCTTTGCAACTGTCAATATTGTTTTATATACTGCTGGAATCTGTCACTTCGTTTATAATAACAACAAACAGGAAACAATTCTAGAATAAAAAAAAAAAGAAAAGAAAGACAAATTTTAAAATGAAAGTATGAAACGCTTAAATAAATGATTTCTTAAAAAAATGGAAAAAAAATGATGTGAGAGTAGAAATAGAATATAAGTAAACCTTCAGAAGAGAAACATCATCTACTATTTAACGTATATATATAGAACAGAAGAAAAAAAATGTGTTGATTCATTATATAACCATGAATGCCATAGAATGTGATATCGAACGAGTAACTCATCAAAAGCTTATAATTGAGATAGTTCCAGAAGATTAACTTAGTATAATTTTCTCATGTGAAAAGATTACGAGAATGAAGAAAAATCGAAAGAATACATGATTTTCATATATAAATCTGATATTTTCATCACGAAAATCGTGGATATTCAATAGTGAATAACATAATAATAATATAAATACAGAAAATCTTGATAAATTGAATAGTAGAAAAAGCTCTTGGTAGTATTCAGTTATTAAAATATCTGAAAGTTTTTCCAATAATCAGTATTTTATCCAGGTTTCTTTTTTCGGGTGTGCGAAACGGAAATTCTTGGTGGGCATCACCCACCCGCTAGCTAAAACACCGCCAATAGTTCAAACTGATGAATGAACCATATTTTTCAGGTTGCAATTAGAAATGTGCGGGACCAACCTTTTTAGATCCCGATTCCGAACATAGTCCCAGTCCCGGGCCCGGGCCCGTTGACCGGGATCGGGATCATAACTGGTCCCGCTCATCTCTAATATCATCCTAGAGACAGTTAATCCAAAATTATTCAATGAATTTCTAAAACAATTTTTCAATACTCGTCTTCAAATTTGTTTAGTGGATGATTAGCACTTTTTTGTTTCATTTTACTTGAATAAGGTCAACATAGTAAAGGTCATTATATAGCCCCAGATTCAAGTATTGGTCCCGCACATGTCTAGTCAAGACTTATTTTTAATGTAATAAATATAATAAACAGACGAGAGAATATCTCGATTTAGCGGAATTTTCTTTTTACCGTAATTAATATGCAGCGCCTTTGTGTCCTCTATTTCTCATTAGTAATTAAAGCGCTCTTGTCTCACATATAAATCGATCAGATCGGTAGAAGAATTCTGAAAAATCAAAGTGTTCATTGGTTTTCTACTTGTAGATATATATATATATTTATTCACTACACTTTATGGCATGACTACATCCAATAGTCATACTCAAGTGAATAAAGTTGTTGTACTATGGTCGATGCCTATTTCAGGTACTGTGTCAAACTTATTTAGAAAGATATTTGTTAATTTAACTACAATGATCAGATATGTATCGGAAAATATTAATGAAACATATTCATTTTCTTTGATAATTCCTTTGGATTGTCTGGAAGATTTATTGAATAATCGGATTTATAAATTTCGACAAGTTCAATGTATTGATATTTATTATGAGGACAATGATGATGCATTACAAATTCAACGTTATCTTAATCTTAAATATGAAAAATTACAGTTTTGTTCTGTACATGATTTACCACGACTTTTACAAAGTATTGAATTTAATCATACTCTTGTATCATCGAATTTAATTGATCGAAAAATGATAAACGCCATTATTTCCTCAATAGAAGATCGTATATTCGCTAAACGACCAACAATGAGGTTGGTTCAAGTTTTATCTGTCTATCATGTAAATTAGTTTTTCAACAACCATATCAACTTCAGTGTAAACATCATCTATGTTCAATATGTTTCACAACTATTTCACTTCATAAAGTGAAAGTGTAATAATTATAAAAGATATCATCATTATGTACTATTCTATTTTTCTTTTTATTAAGCTATAGTGTGATAAAGATTTTCAAATTAGAATGCAAAATCTCAGAATATTTTATTTAAACTGTGATTGGATACAACCATTTGAAATTTATCAGGTTTTGTCATTTTCTGTAATATGATGTTATTTCTAGGAACATTTCAAACAAAACCATCAACAATTCCTCATTTGTCTTATTCGTAATCTACACGTCATTATTCAATTACGAATATATTCATTTTTGTAAATTATACCATGATTGATACATTAGTCACGATGATTTCATCGACTATGGTCAATTACATCTTTGAATGGTGCATGTATCACTGCTGAGTTTGAAAGTAGGCGATTCATAAATCAAAAATTTTTCAACCGAAAATTTAAAATAGTTATAAATATTTCTAGTATTTATAAATCGGGCCTACTTATAAATCTGTCTTTAATTTATAAACGCTTGAAAGATTTATAAATACCAAATTGATTTATAAATCTCGACGCGGTTTATAAATATCCATCATATTTATAAACGTCGTAAACTTTTACACTTATCGATAAATTTAAATTTTTTGTCAAAATAATTTCGGACTCGATAGTGATCCTGAGACTGTTTCCCGGACGAGAAAATTATCCATGATTATAATTATATTCTCTTTGTTGGAAGAATTTTTTTATAGTCATTTCTGCATTTTCCTCCTAGAAAGAAAACTCACTTATTCTTATCTTCAGGCTGTTTCGCGTGTAAGAAAATTATCCATCATCATAGTTATACTCTCATTGTAAAAATTTTTTTGTAGCCATTTCTACATTCTCCTTCTAGAAAAAAAGAAACTTATTTATTCTCATCCCCAAGCTGTTTCGCGTGCTAGAAAATTGCCCATGATCATACTTACATTCTCCTTATTCAAACAATTTTTGTAGTCATTTCTGCATTCTCCTTCCAGAAAAAAAGAAACTTATTTATTCTCATCCCCGAGCTATTTCATGTGCAAGAAAGTTGTCTGTGATCATAGTTATATTCTCCTTATTTGAACACTTTTTTTTGTAGTTCTTTCTCCAATGTCCATCCAGAAAAAAAACTGATTCATTCTCATCCCTATGCACTTTCCAGGAAAAAATTTGTTCATCATCTTAATTATATTCTATTCGTTGGAACAATTTTTTGGCAGCCATTTCCACATTCTCCTTCCAGAAAAAGACTCATTTCATTGCATTCTCACACTGTTTTCCCTGACGAGAAAATTGTTCATCATCTTGATTATATTCTATTTGTTGGAACAATTTTTTTGTAGTCATTTCTGCATTCTCTTTCTAGAAAAAAAACTTATTTATTCGCATCATCGAACTCTTTCCCGGAAAAAAAACTTGGTCTCTCATCATTCCCGCATTCTAACTGGCAGCTGTAGTTTTCTTGCGCTCATTCCTATACCCTTCTTTGTGAGAAAAAAACGTATTTTATTTAGTTCGTGTTTCACATTTTTCATCAAGCAGGGATTACGTAGAAAGTTTCTTTTCAGTGCATGGGCCGTTAATGATAAGACTTACCGATATGTTGAAGAGTGTCGTCAAGGAGTGGGAAGAGTTTTGGACACCATCACATCAACAAATTCATGTTAACTCAAATTATAGACCTGATATTGATGGTTTACGAGCAATCGCTGTTTGTGCAGTGATAATATTTCATGTTTTTCCAACTTATCTCACCGGTGGTTTTGTGGGTGTCGACATGTTTTTCGTTATTTCTGGCTATTTGATATCTTCAATCATATATAACGAACTCGATGCGGGTTCATTCACTTTCTTTCGATTTTATGGTCGTCGAGTTAGAAGAATTTTTCCATCGTTGATTGTAGTGCTGGTTGCTTGTTATCTAGCTGGTCTACACTTTCTTCATCCCATCGATATGAAAAAACTGGGTGCCCATATTGTTGCTGCTTCAGGATTTCTCTCTAACTTTCTACTGTCGAGAGAATCTGGATATTTTGATGATGCCTCAGACACTAAACCCTTGCTTCATCTTTGGTCTCTCGGCATTGAAGAGCAATTCTACATAATCTGGCCAATGCTTCTTTACTTTTCATGGAAAGCAAAGTTGAATTTGGTAACCCTCACCATTGGACTTACACTTTCTTCGTTTACACTAAATATCCTTCGAGTGAAAACTAATAGCGTTCAGACATTTTACTGGCCGACGACACGTGTGTGGGAATTGTTGATCGGAGCATGTCTAGCTTTTATGACAATACACATGAAGGATTGTTTTGAAAATATTAAATGTCGATTAGATCGAATACTCACCGCTTTAACATTCAGTGAAGTATCTGAACCCAACGGCTCTACACTATGCAATGTCATATCAATTATTGGGTCCCTTCTGGTCATATTACCGATGTGTTTTCTCACAAAATCATCTGTGTTTCCTGGATGGTGGGCAGTCGCCCCGACCGTCGGCACTGCACTCCTGATTTCTGTCGGAACAATGCCTTGGATCAACAGACAATTTCTTTCGTCACGCTTACTTGTCGGAATCGGATTGATTAGTTATCCACTCTATCTTTGGCATTGGCCTCTTCTTATATATACAAGCATTATCCTTGAAAATAATGTTTCTAACTATGTACGCATTGGTATCATTGTTTTGAGCATCTTTATGTCCTGGATTACCTATATTTGTATTGACAAGCCATTTCGATTGGGACACTTTCTCAACATAAAGTTTGCTTTTCTATGCATTTCGATGATATGTATGGGCTTCTTAGGTTACTACACAAATCAATACAATGGTTTCTTATATCGATTCCCAAAAATCATAGGTTATCACGCAAATCAATCCAATGGTTCATCTTATCGATCTCCAAAAGTCATAGCTAACTACACAAATCAATCCAATGGCTTATCGTATCGAGACCCGAAAGTCGTTCAGGAGATCTTGAATTTTGAATCACGTGCTTCAACTTATCTGAAGGCTTTTAGATTTAGAACATGTCACCTGGATCACGATCAAGATGAAACAAAATTTGGCAACTGCGTGGATAATATCGAAAAGCCTATGTCGACTTCTGTAATACTATGGGGTGACTCGCATGCTTCTCATCTCTATCCTGGAATGGTAGCTGCTAAACCAAATGTTCGTTTAACAGAGCTGACTGCAAGCAATTGTCCTCCAATATGTGGAATGAACACTCGAGCTGGATTTTGCATACGAATTAGCGACTATATTTTAAAAAGAGTGTTGAATGAAAAGCCAAATACAGTGATACTTGCAGCCTATTGGTCGTTATACGATTGGAAATACGTAATAAACACTATTAGAAGCTTGAAGAATGCAACGATAAAGAACATTTATTTGGTGGGACCATTTCCGATTTGGCATGGTAGCTTACCAAAGAATCTTTATGATTATGGCTTGCAGCATAAATTAGACCAAGTGCCCATACGTATGCGCATTGGTTTAGTTTCGAACATAGATACTTTAGATGAGAAAATGCAAGCTTTTGCTATTGAGACGAAGATCAATTATATTTCTCCATACAAAATATTCTGCAACTCTGATGGTTGCCTAACGAGAACTGGAGACAGTGTCGACACACTAACAGCCTATGATTATGGTCACCTCACTACTGCTGGATCGGCGTTCGTTGTATCAGATTTTCCGAAAACTATGCTTCACCCTATAGGAAACGCATGAGAATGTCTATAATGTAGACTCTAACAATAAAACAGAAGAATTGGAACTGAAGATGTGGATGTATTGTGTTTGGGTGTGAGTATGGATTCGGAAGAGCCTTCCGCTAACCTGCATTGACAGGCCCCGATCCACAGCCTACACCCAAACAAAATACACTCACACTCACCATCAATTACATCGTAATAAACAAGATTACGGATGTATGTTGATGAAGATAATCTTCTGTTTTAAATTCATTGATGTTGTCTATTCCTATCATGTATTCTATACAATTTAATAAAGTTTTAAATAACCAAATATAAAATAATAATGATGATAAAAATAAATGAATTCAAGAAGCTCGAAGTGGAGAATATTCTTAGTATAGTTCTTTCATCGAAATCAGGTTTCTTTATAGGAGATAAAACACTTCAGACAATGAAATCCATATTTTTCGATAGAAGAAACTTCAAACAAGAATTGAATTCAGAAAATATACGAAGAAGATCAATCTCATCAAAATAATCAAATAAACCGGGTAAAGTTTAATTTGATAATGATTGCGAATTGATTGCATTATTTTAGCGTTTCTTCTCGTAGATGCTTTTATACATACTATTGATTTGAAACAGATGCATGATATATTTTTCTTCGTCCATGAATCAATGATGACGTGTACTATGTGTGTAGTGGGAAAGGATGAGGGAGCGGATGAAGGAGTGACACACACTCATACCCTCACCCTCAAGATGGTTGATAGTGATGATCATATAGATAATATAAATAACTTTATGACTTAATAACAATATGAAAGAATTCTGAATATTACAATTCAATTGAAATGATAATAAATAATTCTTTCTGTAACATTCAAAGAATTCCATTGCATAATTCATCTTATATTATCGGTGGATGTTGAGAGTAAGAATGCAAGTCTAATACTTGATGTATTCACTATGATAGTCTCATTTATATTCTGTATAAACTTTACGTAAATCACGATGTGCAACTGATAAGACAAGATTACTTATTACATCAGTATCTTTTGTAGTGCAATAAAGTTTTTTTTTTAAATAAACAAGATCAAAATATTTATACAGTACATGGTGGTATATTTCGGATGTACCATTATTTGAAGTGTTAATTTCAATGGTAGCCAATCGAGTTCTTTCACATTTTTGTTCAAGAACGACAGACTTACCAAAAAAATTGATTGGAT